CAAATAGTCACAGGCAAAATACTACGAATAAAGTTTAAGACTATACTTGAAAATCCTCATCTTTTACTATGTCTTCCTACTTATAATTCAAAACAACTTCATAGACTCTCGTCGGGTCTGGTTTGTAGGGTATTAGGTTCGGCCGGGTATTTACTCAATGCGCACTTTCGAGTAGCGGCCGCGGATTCCCACGTCATCCAAAAAAAAAAAAAAAAAACAAACTTCATTGACTACACTAAATTACTAATTACTTCATATTGCAAGGATTGATATATATATATATACACACACACTTACATAGTAAAAAATTTATTAAACCTATCGAAAAAAAACATACATGAATGGTTATAATATTTTCTAGCCAAGTATATAACAAACTCTATATATATTGCTCTATACATTCTACACTAGGTATGTTTGTTTTGGGGTTTGGATTTTGAGTTGGGATTTGAATAGTAAAAAATTTTGAATTTGAATAGTTGTATGATGTGATGTTTTGAATATAAAATTGATTTGAGTATAATATAAAAAATAAAAAATAGGTGTTTGATTTGATATGTTTGGAGGTTAAAAAAATTGGATGAACAGTGTATTTAAAATCCAATCTCCCAGACAAAAACACCCGAAATATAAATATTATTAAATGCAGTGGTGAATATTCCTATAATTTTCCGACATTTTCACATGGTTGATTAGACAAAGATAAGTAAGGATTATTGAGTCTTATGATGACTCTATCCCATAGTATAAAAATATTAAAACAAAAGTGAATAATTCATTATTTCTCATTTGACTATTTTGAAGAATATATATGTGTGTATATATATATATATATCCCTATTTAAGAGTGATAATAGAATAAATTCCACATGTTTCTTCTTTGTCCTAAATAAGTTCCTCCTATATTACTACTCACGTCGGCATAAATTAGAACATTTGGATCCAACACAAACATTAAGAAAAATGAATAATTTTTATTGAAAAAGTAATAAACGTGAAAAGATAGTTGAAGGTAATGTAATAAAGATAGTAACATTTGTAAACAAGTGTTGAATTGGGGATAATAATTAAATATTAATTTATTGACTTTGTCAAAATTAATAATAAAATAAATTTAAGGGACATACTAAAAAAATAAAAGTGAGAGTAAATTTGAGAGTTAAGAGTATATGCATTGGGTTAATGATTAGATTTAATTTGTGGATAGATGTTTGGGTAGAGCATATTTATTTATGATTTAAAACATATATCTAATTAAAATAAATTTAAAATATGTGTTTAGGTATTTTAAAAGTTATAATTTAATAAAATATAATAAATATAGATATTATTTTGTAGAAAATAAATTTAAATACTTTACAAATTAATAAAATGATATATAAAATTATACATTATTAACATAACTTACTTTATATAGAATCAGGAAGTTTAAATTTATATAAATATATTTATTTATTAAAAAATAAAAATGAAAAATTATAAGTAGAGTGTAGTTCATGAAATATTGGAAGAAAAAAGAAAGAATTGATAAAACTCATATAAAATATATTTTATAAAATAAAAATGACATTATATTTATATCATACAATACTAATAAGGTTACCTTAGTATTTTTGCCTTTATTTCTACTATATTCCAGTATAATATTAATATTTTTAAAACTCCGTATATAAAACAAATGAGCATATAAATTTGGGACGACGAAAGTATATTTTTATTGAAATCTGTAGAAACTGGATAGTGTAAATTTGTATTTGAAATCATAATTAATTGTAGTTGAATATTCGACTTATTTGACTCTCTTACGGGACTATGTTAGTATTATAAATATGTGGTGTCAGTGTATATTATTTTATATTAATACTAACGGGCAATTTTGTATAAACTTACTAATTATAAATTAAACAAATAATTATAATGTAAACTTTATAAATATTTGTTTATGAATATTTTATAAATTATTATTTAAATAATAGTTTGTAAAAGTTAATTATAGGTAAAATAATAAATATTCTTTTAAATTTAAATTATATACTTGTGTTCTTCCAAAAAAAAATTTATTGACCCTATTTTTAATTTGTATAATATTTATATATTATTTTTTTACAAAAGTGAATCATTTAATATAAAATATTAGGTTTAATTACTGATAAATATTTTCATAAACCTCAAGATAAAAAGACATGTCAAACTTAAAACAGTAAACAAACATACATGTAATGAGTTAGAATAAATAAAATAAAAAGAAAAAGCATATGTATATATCTTTAAAATTTGATAGTTTATAAAAGGTTGTATTGTGTGGTCATCAATTAAAGTTATAGAAATAAATTATAATTTATAATTTAATATATTTAACACGTATTACTATTTTTCAAAAACAACTATATCAAATGAGAAAAATATATACATCGACTATTGTCAAACTATCAAATAATTTCAAGTAAAAGCTCAAAATGAATATAGAAACTAAAGACATAGAAAATATATATATATATATATATATAAAGTAATAAATTATTGCAGTTTGAACTATATAAAATCCAAACCAAAATAATTGTCAAATTGAACTCATTGACATCAAAATAAAAAAATAATAAGTAACAAATGATGGCTCGTCACATATCTGTCAATTTTGAGCTAAAACTAGAACGGATGAATTTGAATAAAAAAACAGAACCGGAACTAAAACTAGTCGAATCAAAACTAATTTATATTTAATTTTAATTTAATATTTTGACATAGCGAAACCAACGTTTGAATAGTAACCAAAAGTTCAAACTATTTTAAACAAATCTTTCTAAATTCATCAACGTTTCAGACGCATGAATTCATTTATATATGTTTTAAATCTGTACGTAAACTCTTAAAATTATAAATATATTTGTAATATTATAATATAATTAAATTTCCCGCACGTAGCATTATTCAAACTATTTTGTTGTCTTCTCCTTTTCACTACAAAAAAATAATATATTTGTAACGGAATTTCATCCCTAAAGTTCACGTAGCTAACGTAATTCTATTATTAATTCCGTCTCTAATGTCATTAGTAACGGAAAAAGTAGATTTAGAGACAAAAAAATTTTGTCACAAAAATGATTTTTTTTTTTTTTTTTATAGTGTTTTCACCTATATAATTTTTTTAAAAAAAACATAACCAAAAAAAGCCTCTAATGGTGATACCATCTTTGATAATATTGTTGAGTCAATAATTTGGGTATGTTTGATAAGAAATGATGGTTAGTATTAGGACAACCTAAGTAGGTGCATAAAATAGGCATCGATCAACATGCATAAAACAGTACGATTTAGAGTTATTTAGCCTCTTTATATTAATCAATATTTAGCAAACCAATCCTTAATAGGTCTAATAATTATGGTGTGACATTACACAAATTAATCAAAGCATACACATCTATAATATAATCTACATAATTTGAAAATAAATAAGGAGAATAGGAGATATGTAGTGAATGGAAAACATTGAAAATATAGTCCATATCTAGGGGTGGGCAAAAAAATCAAATCGAACTGCCGAATCGCTGAACCGAACTGAATCGAATCGAATTTTCGGTTAACTGAGCAAATTCGGTTCGAATACAAATACTGCACATTTGATATTTGTTCGGTTTGGTTCGGTTTCGGTTTTGGTTTTTGATATTTTTTCGGTTCGGTTAACCGAACCGAATATATTTATATATTTATGTTATTATATTTTAAATTTTATATTAATAATTATATTCGATTCGATTTCGGTTCGGTTTTGGTTCGAATATTTGAAATATTTGCAAATATTTTGATTTAATTAGAATTTTAATTATTTTTAAATATGTTATTTTTTTAATTTCGATTCGGTTCAAATTATTTGCAAATATTGTAAATATTTTCGGTTTGAAGACGGTTCACGGTTTCGGGTATTTGTTCAATTCGGTTCGGATATCAAATACCTACATATTTGCAAATATCCGAACCGTGCACACCCCTATCCATAACTACATGAATCACCTAGTGTGACAAATTTTGGCGGTCTAGTTTGCATGCTATTGAGTTCGGTCGAGGTTTACTCAAAATGCACTCAAAGACAAGCGATTGTAAATTCTCACGTCAGTCGGTAAAAAGTAAAATTAAAAAGTAAAAAAATTGTAATAGATTGAGTATAGTAAGAATAAAAGATTTTCAATTGTATATACGTATATACATACAAGAAAAAAAGAAAAAGGTTGTGTTTGTTTTAGGGTTTCTAAAGATTCTTTTTAATATTCATGATATTTTTTGTGATTAAAAATATCAAATCAAATAATTATTTTTAATACTCTCTTCCTCCACTCTTATGTATTTATTTTCTCATTTTAATTTGTTCACCTTAATATATGGGTGTATTTGTTTATGAGTTTTAGTTTTTGAGTTTGGATTTTTGAATTTGAAAAAAAGTTGAATTTGAATAATTGTTTGCTTAGATATTGATGTGATGTTTTGAATGTAAAATAAATTTATAATATAATATAAAAAAATAATTATTTAATATGATATTTTTAGAGAAAAAAAATTAAATAGCAAAAATATGTGAAAAACTCACAAAAGAACACCACCAATAATATATTAAAATTATAAAATTTACATACACAAAAAGTAAACAATTAAGTTGGGATGGATGAAGAAAGTACTTTTAAAGTAAAATTACTTTTTATATTCAAAATATCAAATAATACTTATTATATTATATACTACTTACTCACGCCTGCTCTATGGTCTCTTTTACTTTTTTTGACGTATTGATCTTTGAATATTAATTATTATATAAAAAAATAGTATAAATTAAGAATAAATGGTAAAAATATTTTTAGTGTCTTATAATATTATTATAATGATATTTGTGCAAAATAAAATTACATAAATATAAGGATATTTTTAATGTTAGTACAATGACGCAAAAGGTAAATGAGACCCTTAGAACCGGACGGAGAGAGTATTAAACAATCATTAAAAATTCAACCTTTTACTATTTAAAATACGAATCTAAACCCGAAACAATCACACAAGATTTTTATAAATCTCTTTCTCTCTCTCTCTCTCTCTCTATATATATATGTGTGTGTGATTTGATCAAACCAGAATCGATCATATTTAGCGAAACCTCCTGACATGCATCAATACATAGACCTATTAGACGAAGATAGCTTAATAAACTAGGCATCATGCAAACACAAGTACATGATCACTTACATCAACCTTAAAGCATTTTTTAAAAAATAAAATAAGAGTGTGTTAAATTAGGTTTGGTCATGGGAGGTGGGGTTTCATATGGAGGAATGAAGTGACCATACCAGGCAACAATCCAAAGTAGCCATGACCATCATCATCTCCAATTACCTCCCCTGCAGTTGCAGACGTCTGCTGCCTGAAAGTACCACCGTAATTGGCTTCTGTGGCTGCCGGAAAAAAGAGGTCCTCCGGCACTGGCCGGAAAGGCGAGAATAAAGAGTACTGTCCCAACAATGCCGCCGCCGCCGCGCTTCCCCGGATTGTCGCCGGGCAGTGGTGAGTGTGCTGCCCTTCGTAAGTAGTAATCACCACCGTTGGATCTTGGTATGATCTCTCTATTCGTTTCTTCACGTTGCACTTTTGGCTCGTGCATCTGTAGTAGCTCCTGTGTATATATATATATATATATAAATGGAATTACGTTAGCAACGTGAACTTTGGGGACGGAAGTCCGTTACAAATATAATTTTTTTTGGTAGTGGATTAATAATGTTTATTTATAAATTGTTGCATAAACAATTCAAAGCAAAGAAAAAAGAGCAGAAAGAACAAACCCTAAATAATGTTATGAAGAAATATTTGATGGTTGAATTTGGAAATTATTAGGAAAAGGGTGTGATGTATTTGTAGAGAGTGAATTGAGGAATGAAAGCTAAAGGGTCCAATCTACGCAATGAAAAATTGTTATAAATTAAATGAAGCAATAATTTGAAGAGAAGATTTAGGCCAAATGCCAGAAGCAATAATTTGAAGAGAAGATTTAGGCCAAATGCCAGAAGCAATACAATAATATTCTTGTTGGTTTATTGTTAGATGCAAGAAGAAAAACAATTTAAAGTGGAATAAGGAGGGAAATATATTATTTCTTTTTTAGCTAGCTAGGTTTGAGATTGACTTTACATTTTCTTAGAGTTAGTTGCAAGAGAGCAGGTGAGTTAATTAAGAAGATGTAATTAAAAATTTAGAAAAAAAAAAAAAAAAAAAGACCTTGGAAAAGGGCTGTTTTTGACTGCTTTTTGTCCATATTTTCTCCATCTGTATCCATCTTCAAGATTATCTATCTCACTTTTGGTCATGAAGGCAAACCGTGGTTCTCTTTTCTTTTTCTCCTCCTTCTTTTTACCTTTGTTGCTGCTGCTGCTCAAATATTACAAATATTAATTATTCTTACTTAGTGTGTAATGATAAAAAAACAATTTATTGTATGATTTGATTTCTGCCATAACCAAAACTGGCATGGGATCTTGGAATCAAACTAGGGTTTGTACTTTTTCACACACCATACCCTCTTTTCAAGAATTAAAGAATAAATAAGCTTCTCTTGATTCAGGAAGGAAGTGAGAAAAATATATATCTATAAAAATTAATGTCAACTACAAATTTATATTTATATATATATATATGCAGAAAATTAATCAAAGACCTACTCTTTTTTAGATGGCTTATCATCTCCAGCTTCTTCAGGCAGCAGATCTTTTCTATCCATGGAAGAACCCTCTTCGATTTCACCCTCCGGTGAAGAAGCTAGCGACATGGAGGAATTGGTAGTTGTGTGGGCGTATTCAGACGGTGCGGCGGCGGCGGGGGCGGCGCTGCAACTTCCGGCAGCGGTTGTTGCCTCATTAATGGAAGCATAGTCATTTCCGGAAAAGGAGACGTCAAAGGCGGTGGAGAGCGCGTTGTAATCAACCGCCGGGTGCAGCCACTGGGAGAAGCTGCTGCTAATGTCGTCGGAGTGGCGGCTAGGGTTTTGTTGGTGGTGGTGGTGGTTGTACCCTGCAAAGTAGTTGTTGTACCCCCCATCGTCGCCGAATGCAAACCTTTGAGGATTACTGAACTTGTCGGAATCAGACATGGCGGTGATCGATCAGCAGGGCATGTAATGTAATGTATTGTATTGTATTGTATTGTAAGCAAGAATATGCTGCCTGCTTTAATTAGGTCAATAATAATAATAAATACTTTAAGATGCAGGAGGGATGATGGATGGAAAATTGGGGTTTCGGGGAGCAGACATGATTAATTGAGGAGTGTAGCTAATGGGCGGACAGACTGTATGTGTGCTGGAGATAGCTTATTAGGTTGTGCTTTTTTGACAAAATTTTATGTCCTCTCTCTCTCTCTCTCTCTCTCTCTCTCTCTCCATTTTTTTCTAGAGAGAGAAGAGGAAAATGAGGGTTTGGTTGATGGTGATGTTGAATTGATTTTGGGCTTTGTATAATACATGAAAATGGGGAATTATTGATTCTTGCCTAACCTAGTTTAATTGAAAAAAAAAAAATATATATTTGTGTATTGCATATTATGTGAATAAGAATTGTCCATGTAGTTAGCTTGTAAAAATATCTTTCAATAGTATATAATTATTTTAATAGTTTTACACCCATGTTGCGTGTCCCCTCGACCCTACACCCCAAAAATGGATAATTTAAATTATTTTTTTTAAAAAAAAAAAGAAAGAAAGAAAAACCCTTCTTCTTCTTCTTCTTCACTATCGTCATGTTTATGCGTTCTTGCCAACGTCTTCATCTTTCGTATTCCCTTTGTTAGGCAATTTTATTTAATTTATTCAATTTTTGACCTTAAATCACGAAATTATTTTATAATTTAGAAATTTTTTTAATTTGATCATGTGAAATCTTAGTTTAATTAATTTTAAGTTGACAGTACACATTCATCGCATTATGGGTTGTTGACTTCATTCGTTTGAACAAGTGATTGATTCAATCCTATCACAGGAGTCAAATTGTAGGTATGTTCTTGGTCCTCAAATTAATGATTATCGAAAAATTTCTGTGTCGTTCAATTAAAATAAGTAATTGATAAAAGTACTGTCAATTCCTATGATATAAGGAGGACATTATTATCTTTAATTATTTTATTCCACCTAGCTAGAGTTATAACGTGAATTTGGACTTAAATCTCCATCATCAATCCAAAACGTTGAATCAATCTCCAACATATGTTGTTTCATATGTAATAAAAGAAGCATATATATATATATATACCATATTAATTCTTTGCAATTTACCAATAACCAAGAATAAAGAAGATGGAAGAAGTGATCTAGCTAGCTAGGAAGGTTTGTTATCACGGAAGTGTCTGTTCGGATGCCTTGAATCCGATATTTTCGATGTTTGTTGTCACTTCGTTGAACTATATTCTTGGTATTGTAACGGATTGTGATTAGTAATCGAATAACAAATAGAAATGTAAAGAAGATATATATTTATGTGGTTAACCAACAATGTGTTGGCCACGTATACAGGCATCAGAAAAGAAGAACATATTTATTGAGGACCAATGATTACATATCACATATTTCATATATGCATGTCTATTTAAATAAAATAAAAGAATACATCAGACAAACTCAGTCCAACACGAACTCAAAGTCCATATATTGCATACTATTGGGCCGGGGGACACTTCTCTCCCTTGACCCCTCGACTAGCTGATCGGACAGTAAGATCTCCGTCAAAACTCAACAAAGTGGCAAATTAGATTTAAAATATATCAATACTTGTTGTCCGGTCAGCGAGTGAAATCCAGAGACAACGCCCCGGCTTTGGGGTCCAAAGGCGCAGCGTGACTCTCGACGGGGGTTCGGGGGCAACACTCCCAAACTAGACCGTGTGGGCTAGTTTCATAGTCTATCTTGATTGGTGGATTTTTTTTTTTTTTTGTCTAGTCAGCTATGTTTAATTTAAGTTATTATAAATATTCATTATGATATAATTATGATTGTGCTCGCATTATAAAATTTTAATAAAATTATTCTCTTTTTACTGTGAACGTAGTCAGCGCCGTGAATCACATAATTTTATTTGTTAATTTTTTTTATTTTTTATTATCTTTATTATATTTGTCACAACAATGTCATTCTCCAATCATCTCACCTTTTGAGCTCACTGATTTTTGTTATCCATCCTTTCAAATTGAGTTGCAAAAAAAAAAAAACACTGGAATCGGCATTCTATGGACAATAATAATAATAATAATAATAATAATAATGATAATTGACCAAAATAATTGAGTCAATGTAAATTCTCTATCTGCAAATTAATTGAATTTTGGGCTAAATTCTTGTATATCAAATAGCGAGATATCTCCTACTTGAGAGCTATGACCCGAGGTCGATTCTAAGTGAGTGTCTGTGAATGTGTGTGCAGTAAAAATAATAACATGGTTCATTAATACTTAACCACAAGATCAAAGCATGCCAATCACTTGGTTCATTAATCGCGAGTGACAAATATAACGGCTACTAAACACATAATAATATTCACGCAAATGAGATATTAAATCAATAGCTAGCTAGGTCTTTAGTTTGCCATCCATAATAAACCTATAGGCTAAAACTCATCACGATCGCAAAGTATTTTGCAAAGTGGAGATCTTATATGATCCCTGTTGTAGCTGAAACTCGACTTTTGGATAGCCAATTATGTGTGTTACACCCGTCAGAAGGCTAAAAATAGTAGATTTTTTTGTCTGACTCAAGAAAATCTCTGATCTAATCTCGCATAATATGGATATAAATATAAAAATAAACATGAATAAAATAAAATAAGAATAGAAAAACAAGTAAAAGTTGGAGGAATGCAACCAAAATGAAAGAACACCAAGAAATAGAATAACTTTGCAAGAAATTAAAATGATGAAGAAAAGTGTAATATAACATAAAAACTTAAAGAACAAAAAAAAAAAAAAAAAGGATGATAAAGATGTCATATATAAATAATTCAACTTTTGATGATGAAAAGTTAAATTTTTTATTTATTTCAAATAAATTATTGACACCTATAAGAGTATTTACGGTTTTCTACAAAAATAGGTTGAACGCTCCGTTAACTATAAAAAGAATAGGTATTCCGTACAAAAAAATTATGTCATAACGGTTAAATATGAATAAATTAAATATAAGAGTTTTATGCGAAATAATATGACACGGATATTTGTATTAAAATTTATCTTATTTTTATAGTGGATGATTTACTGATAATTATTTGAAAATTCTTGTTTATAAGAGGATGAGAAGATTGGATAGATTAATATGATTTTATTATGGTCAATACTTTAACAAAATTTTAAATAATGCTATCATTTATTTAACTGCTTCAGCTAGCTCGTCATCCAAAATCTTAATTTTATCATGCCTAACCATGATGACTCTAAAATGTCTACTAATTAGTGAATGACTAATTTTGAACTACCATAAGTTGTATGCATAACACTATTTTAACACCATTGATTCAAACAAATTTTTTTAATTGACATGATAAACATAATACCCCTTAAGTAATTGATTCAATAGGTGGTGTTATAATTGGTATAAGAACTTCATATTTCCTTTATTTCAATATATATATATATATATATGACATAAAATATACAGTCGCAACTTATTAAGTATGCTCTAGGACAAATCACCTGCCCCTGGTTCTCGGCCATAATCCGTCTCATGTGTGCGAGCTCCCCTATCTTGTACGGCTGACTAATGACTCATATATTACTGGAGGTACGTGTTCCGCATGATTCTCCCATACTGTATGGTATATCCCGGGCGTGCACAGGGACGGCTGGTCTGGAGCCTCAGCGCGAGCGTGGCCTAGGCGCCGGACGTGTCAGCTTCCAGACACGTTACACTAGGCTAGGTCTCATGCAGACATTACAGTCCAGCATTGCCACATAATTCGCACCTCATAGATGTTTTGGTTTTCTTAAAAGAAAAACTTAAAGTGTGTTCGTTTGTGGTTTTAGTTTGTAGATTGGGATTTTGGAATAGTAAAAAATTGAATTTGAATAGTTTTTTTTATCTAATATATAAATAAAAATTAATGTGATATTTTGAATATAAAATAAATTTTCAGTATAATGTAAAAAAAATATAATTATTTTATATAATACTTTTTTAAGAAAAAAAAATATATAAATAGTAAAATGTTTGTAAAACACATAAAATAATGCAATCTTATATGAAAGTGAACGTGCCAATAAATAGTAAAATCCCCTTGGAAATGAAATGAACTATAGATAGGATAGATAGATACCCTACGGCCTACCCCACCCACCCAAGGCCACAATTTACTCATCGTCGTCATCATCATCATCTCCTTCCCATCCCATGTGACCAACATTCAAGGAAACCTCCCTGTCTCTATCTTCCCTCCTTAACACCAATCAATCATTGCTCCATTTCTCTCAAAAAAAAAAAAAAACCAAAACCCTTTAATTCTTAATTAATTGCCAAACATTACAACAGCAAACACTGTAAAAATGGAGATTCATAATCGTCATCGCATGCAATGCAATCCAATCCAATCCAATACAAAAACAAACACAATGCCCTATTCATCTGTACACAACAACCAAAAACATGTCATCTCATACATATAATGACAGAGAAAGAGAGAGATAGGTTGATTTCAAACAGGATGGGCCATATTATAATTATATATATATATATATCATCATCATCATCCCCTTCGGAGGAATCTCTTCGAAAATATGAATGAAGGAAGCAAAGGCTTTTGTCTGTCATCCCAAAGCTGTCCCAAAATCATAGGGGATGAATGGATGAATGCAATAATTCAACCCATCCGTCGCCTCGCCTCGCCAGAATATTTACTCGCTGTCGCATCTGTTAGTCCCTCTCGGATGCACGGCTATCCCATTGCTCCCCCTGGCTTTCCACATCACCTGTCGGACCACTCTCCTTTGCCGACTCCACTTCAATGCTCGTCTGGCTGTTCCTCCCCCGCCGGTCCTGAAACAATTAAGCTTACCAACTTCAGATCTAAGCCTTCATATATATATTAATTGCTAGAGTTCTTTCATATAGATAAGTCTACGATCTCGATTCAAGACAGTAACAAATGACAAGTGCTAAGAAGTACTTTAGCCAATTATCAGTTTCGAATGTCCCTACAATAATTAAGGTTGACCTACAGATCATTATCAACCATTGTCTATTTGACTCGAAACTTTGGCACAAGATGAAGGCTAATTAGTCGAAAAAGATAGCTACTAATAAAAACCCATGTATATATATATTTAGAGAGACTGATTTAGTTTCAAAACATGGATAATTTAGGGTTTATGAAGGAAGAAGCACACCTTGCGACGAGGAATCTCGTCCGTTTCCAGCATTCGGACAACCTGGCTCATCTTGGGGCGCTTCTCGGAATCGTGGTCAACACACCTGATGGCTATCAGAAGAGCACATTTCAAGGCCCGTGTCGTCGGCGGGGCTTCGATGTTAGGGTCAACAACTTCCTCTGCTTTCCGGTTAGCCACCATCATCTTGAGCCACTCGACAACATTCACCTATCGTATTCACAATTAAACAGCTCGTGAAACATGCTCGAATGCCATACTATCTTTCAATATCATTTATTACTTCACAATAAATGAAATTAACTCATTACCTCATCAGGTGGACGTCCGTAGTCGACAGGGTCTCTTCCCGTGATGGCTTCTAGCAGTAGAACGCCGAAGCTATAAATGTCACTTTTTTCATTCAACAAGCCCGAATTTGCGTATTCTGGCGCAACATATCTGCATTTATAGTAAATTTTAACATCTACTACTATTTTTCCAAATCTAAACATGGTATTCCAAAAACATGTAAGAACAAACACCTACCCGAATGTTCCCATCACTCTCGTTGTAATATGGCTTTCTCCGGATTCCAATAGCTTAGCCAGTCCAAAGTCGGAAACTTTGGCATTGAAGTCGTTGTCAATCAAGATGTTGCTCGATTTTATGTCGCGATGCACGACTTTCGGCTCTATTGATTCGTGCAAATACGCGAGCCTATAATGCCAAAGTCGGAGAACATTAAATTTCATAGCAAGATTTAAGCTTCAAAATGAAAGAGCTCAAAAATGAACTGACGCTTTTGCAGTGCCGAGCAAAACCTTCATTCGTGCTTCCCATGTTAAGCTACCGCGCTGCCTCATAGCACCATGTAGCCATTGTTCCAAATTACCATTGTTTACATACTCGTACACCAACATTCTTCAATAAAAAATCAAAAAATTATCTTCAAAGGAGAGAGAGACAGTCGACGAATTAATTATCTCTTCTGCATTAAAAAATTAAAAAAAAAAAAAAACAGTAAAAGAAAGCGAACCGGTGAACTCCTTCTATGCAATATCCGAGGAGCCGGACAAGGTTCTTATGCCGGACATGACCAATGGCTTCTACTTCAACCCGAAACTCTTTCTCCGCTTGTCCACTGTAACAAAATTAGTCGTGAGCGACAAAAAACAACAAAGCTTATCGAAAAATTCAGAATTGAAAACATACAAAAGAACACTCACAGGTTATTTAGTAGCTTCTTCACAGCTACTTCTGTCCCATTAACCAATTTTCCTCGGTAAACAACGCCGTAACCTCCTTCCCCAATAACATGCTCGGGTGAAAACCGACTCGTCGCAATTTCAAGGTCCCGGAGCGTGAACCAATGTCCCCAACCCAGATGAGACATTTCCGGCAAACCAATCAGAGGAGACGGCATCACAAGACCATACGATGAAGAACCTTGCTTCCAAGCATTTCCGGAACTTCCCTCGTCTCCCGACTGCGAGCTGTAGGTCCTATCATTGTGGTATATCGAACTACACTGGCTAATGTTGTCGGCTTCGCTCGATTTACTCGTCCCCAAATGAACCAGCATCTTCTCAGAATACTTATCACTTGATTTTTTATCATTAATGCTCGAGAACATACTATCCGGGCGATCACACGTGCTTTGTTCACCCACCCTGTCGACTCTAATTTCCTTAGACACATTGGGGATTTGGCTCTGCGAGTACTTGTCCAATGTTCTTCGCGATTTTCTTCTAAACATGACCCATACCGACAAGATTCCCAAAATTAAAACTATGAATGCTCCCACACATATTCCAATCAGAACCCACAGCTTCAATCCACCATACTTTTTCGATAACTCGGTGTTCAAACTCCCGGACGACATCTTCTGAAACCAAATCCCGTAAACAAGATGTGTTGAATCTTCAACCACAAACAAGAACTAATCCATGGAGTTTCAGACTCCCTACATACATCAAATTATCAATGAGCTCTGTACAATACACACACTAAACACAATCTTTAACAAAGTCAGGCTTTAACGTTACTTTGAATGTAATAGTAGGACTTGTCCAAACTAGCATCGACTCACACGACGTCGTTTTGGTAATTCAGATATTGCTAGATTACAAATCAACAGCAAATGGCAACAAAACCAGGGAATGGATTCAGCAGTAAATGAACAGAGAAATTAGAGCACATTTAATTTCAAGAATCGTTGAGCCATCAGAAAGTCAAATAATGATAATAATACATGGACTTGTATGGCAGGATTTTTTTGCCCCATCTAACAGATCGAGATATCTATCTTCAAGAATCTGTCGGCAGAAATAGGGAGCTATTGATCTACATTATTGAACATTTATGCACAAACCCAAATCTAGAAATTTTAAGGGTGAAAAATTAGGGCAAAATCAAGAAACGGCGAAGACTAGGTCTGAAATATTTCTAAAAGCTGGGGAGTACTGATTAGAAAGATAATAATAAATAAAAAATAAAAAAAGCTCACCTTTGGCAAGTGTTTCGAAGTCTGCCCACTTGATCTTCGTCTTCTTCTTCTTCTTCGTCTTCTTCCTCTTCCCTGAGAACCGAAAGAAACGAAAAGGGCACTTTTTGGTCTCAACAGAGACTCAATCAGCATAGACACAACAATGCAGATATAAAAAAACACCGAAAACCCAGGAAAGATAAGGAAAACAAAAGGATATTGAGCAGGTGAAAGAGGAGTAGTAGTTTGGAAGCAGAACACAGAAGGGTATGGGTATGGCCAAAAACCCAAAAGTGGGCCAAAGAGAATTTTTTTCAAGAAAACAAAAACCAAAAAAAGTCCCAAATGCCAAAGCTAAAATCTCTCCAGACAAAAAGAATCTAATCTTTCACATTTGGGAAGATTTGTTCCTCCAATCTCCCCTCAAATGGTGAAAATTTTTAGGGTGGGTAGGGGATGGGTGGATTATTGGGACGAAAGAATTTGATAGAAAGACAAAGAGAGAGAGAGAGAGAGAGAGAGAGAGAGAGAGACAGCGGTGTGTAAATGTGAAGAAAAACTAAAAATAATTAATAGTACAAACAAAAGGAAGCTTGGTTTGCAATGGAGGAAAAACCAGAGAGGGGAAAAGAAAGAGAGAAAAGGCAAAAAGGGATGAACAGTAGTAGTAAAGGCCAAGCAAGATTGTGAATTTTTCATAGATTGTGTTCATAGCTGGCAATGAATATGAACACACACACATTGACACATGTATAGTATTGTATAGATGCATACATAGGGAGGGGTGTGTATGTATATGTCATATGATGAGTCATAGGCCTGTGAAGTTTGACCATTATAATGAGAATGACAATGAGGAGCTCTCTCTCTCTTCTTTTTCTCTCTCTCTCTTATAAACACACAGAGAGAGATACATATATATATGGAAAATTGTTGCTTGGCATCCACTATATGGGCTGGCATTCAATGTGCATAAAAGACACTTAATTCAGTGGTTAAACCTGCTCATCATTTTTATTGAATCGACTTTTAACCTAAATTAATTACCATTTTGCTTTGTTAAGGGGTTGTTAGTGAACTTTGTTTACGGTGCTTAATTGACTCAAATAAGCAGTACATATATATACAGAGGTAGGGTAAGCATTCAGAATTTTTTTGTCAAAAATAAAAATTAATTAAAATGGAACCGAAAAATCAAATTAAATCCAAAATTCCGAAATTTTTGTTTTTTTATTATTTTTAAATTTAATTTTTTATAATTATTTTACAATATTAAATATAATTAATAATTTTTATTTTTTATTTTATTAAAATAGTAAATATATAATAATAATAAATATATTAAGATATTAAAATAATATAATAATAATAATAATAATATAAATATATTAAATTTCAACACTATGTTGAATTATTGTAAGTTTTAGATGATTGTTATGCAATTTTATAGCTCCAAAAATAGAGGTTTGGAATTTTAAAAGTAAAAAATAAAATAATTAAAATTAGTATCAAAATTTTAAAAATATATTGTATAAACAAAGCCATAGTTATTACTACGTGTTAAGGATAATTTAAAATTTTTATTTAATTTATTTAAAGACATCTTTAACGGTATATTATTAATTAATAGCATTATTTCTGAAAAAAAAATCAAAAGATATATTACAGTATATTGTATCAGTATATATTATATTTTTTGTAAGACTGGTATTTATGTTAGGTATAAAAATTATGTCGTTAATATAAAAAATAAAAAATAATACTTCCTTGTCCTTTTTCCTTGTGAAAGAAGATTTTTGAATTTTTGCAGTAAATTAAAAAATAATATTTCCTCGTCTAGTTAGAAAGTATACATATTTCTATTTTGGGACGTCCAATTATAAAGTAAACATTTCATTAAATACCTTACTTTTTTCCACAAATACCCTTACTTTACATCACATAGTTACTTTTACACCAAAAAGCAAGATGAAAAATGTCATTACACTATTTTTAACTACCCACTATAATTAAAATATCATTATTTCTTAAACACCGCGCCAAAGTAATTGTATACTTTATGAGTGAACGGAGGGAGTAGTATTTTATTAGTCAGTGGAATTATATAAGAGATTTTGGCATCTCTGCCTTTAATTTTATGTAAAAAGTAAGTGCATATGTTATGTTATATTTGTAATTTAAATAAAAATTGATGGTATTTTTGTATTAGTATATGATTATTTTGATTAAAAAATAAAATGAATACTTTGAATTAGACATACTAAAATGATAAAAAAATAATTTGAATTATGACGAAAAAAGTATTTTATTTTAAATTATTGACTTTTTATGTATAAATAAAATATTATATATATTCTGTTAATATATATTGTAGTTTTTGTAATATCTATAGATAATCGTGACACCTGTAAATAGATTGAGTGAACATTTCAAATATTATCACTACTTTTTCTACTTTTCTCATATTTTTCATTAATTTTTTAATAAATTTTATATAATATTCTCATTTTATCTTTTACTTACTTTAATATTATAAAATCATTATTTTTTAATCGTTTGCTCAACCAAATTTACATAAATTTACCAAAATGAAAAATTATATTTTATGAATATTCTTGTAGCGTAAAGTGTATATTTATATTTATATGGTGTAATTTATAAATATAAAAAATTATATAAAATAATATAAAATAAGAATACGTAGAGAATATAATTTTTAAAGTATAAATTGAAGTTTATAATCAGAGTAGTATTCTAGACGAACTATATTTGTATTGTAGCAACTGCAAAAAATAGAGTGATGAGTTAGAGATGACATAAGTAAATACACTTATTTGTTTGATACAAAAAATTGTGTTATGATTGTTTAATAATGAGATTTTATGAATAATAATAATAATAATTCATTTTTGTTAAAAAATATGCATAAAAATGATTATTAATATGAATAATGAAAATTGGAAACAAACACAACCTAATTGTTTTAAGAAAAAATATATGTACTCCCTCAATTCCATTTCAATGGTTTTTTTTTTTTTTCAGTAGATTAAAAAAATATTATTTTATTAGTTATATATATAATGATATATTTATAATTTATGTAAAAATTAAAAATTATTTTAATACTATTATATATTTACTTTTATTATAATTGAATAATATTGGAATATCCTGAAATGGCGAAAATAGTACTTTTAGTGTGGAAGAGTATATATTTATTATTGTACCAAAATTAATTACCAATACTTTCTTATTAATTTCTCTCTCACATTGGTTTTGTTTACACTATTTTATTTTTCAATTGTGATTTCCTAAAAATAATAATAATAATATAAAATATATTTTATAAAAGTCAAAAAGTAAAACATAAAAAAAAAAATCAAATATTTATTATGAAAAATAAAAAAAATCAAAATACTTAATAAAAATAATATATTTTATATTTTTGGCACAATTTTTCGCAGTACACGTAAAAAACAAAAATCAATTCATTTACAAATGCTTATTTGCTCTGATAATAAAAGGGGCATTACATAAATAATTTTTTTGAAATGTAATATAATTTCTTAATTTTGATGTAGTATTTAAGTTTATAAAATAAATAAAAATATTAATATTAAATAATATCTATATTTAAACAAACTCAAAATGGCAATGTTTATTAATGGAATGTGTATTTCGTAATGAAAGATGATATAATAATAGCTAATAATAAAATAAACTTATAAAAATACGCAATAATTGTAATGCAATGATTAAATTGTTTAGGGTCAATTTATTGTGTTTAAATTATGGTGAGGATATTTTAGTCAATTAAAATAAAGGTACATATATTTTGGTGCTTATTTAAATCTTATATTAATGGGATTACATTTTTGTTATGCAAATTATTACCGAAATAATTTCCTTTTCTTTTTTCATATAAAATAAAATTTGATTACGGAATCGATGAGACAGTCTACTTAAATCTAGTCTTAAATTGGAAAAGGGTTTGGGGGTTTGTTCGTATGATTTTTGTTTTATCATTGTTTTATTACTAAATTAAATAATTTTTTATATTTTTTTTTATAAAAAATAGTATAAAATATTTTCTTTAAAAATGAAAATTGCCTAATATATTTTTACCCAAAAAACTAATTAAATTGTCAAGCAATTCAAACCCAAGACAATGGAATTTGATTTAAACAAGTTAATAGCAAAATATATATATATATATATATGAGACATATTTTTAATGTTTTGGATGCATAATTTAAAATGTGGTGTTGGTTTTGTTTTTTGTTCATCGATTTGTCACAGTTAGAAACTTCGTTTGCAGATATATAAATTAATGATGTATTTTTTTAATAGTTTAAGTTTTTCTTTTTTTTTTTGTTGGCTTCTCTTATGCTAATTGGTATTGATCGTCACTCCATCGCAGGTCATTACTTTTACTTGGGTAATTAAAAAGTAAAATTTCATTTCTCACTTCAGTGCAGAGTCTGAATATCGTATCCTTGGATATTCGACTTCAGGGCTTCGTTGGCTTTGTCGGCTTCTTACTGATCTCGGGGTTTCTCAGCATTCTTCCACTTTTCTCTATTGTGATAGCACGAGCACGATTCAGATCTCTTATAATGATGTCTTTCACGAGCGCACAAAGCATATTGAGATTGAATGCCACTTTGTTCGATAATAATATTCGTGCAAGTACTGTTCACCTATCACCTATCTTTTGCAATGATCAAACTGCGGATTTCTTTACCAAGTCCCTCCTCGTAGGCCGGTTCTCCACATTATTGAGCAAACTCAAGTTGGTTTCTACTTTACCACCTTGAGTTTGAAGGGAGTGTCAGCGTATTTTTGTATATTGTTATTTGGGGTTCACATATGTATCCATCTATATATGAACGTTGCAATTTTCTTTTTAGTTAATAATGCAGTTTATATTTTTTCGCAAATATTTCAATATGATACCAGAGCACTAGGCTAAGTTTCGAGTTCGAGTCTCGCCCGTCCCCATTTACGGCATATGCATGTACAAATTTCGCATACCTGCATATGCACTTGAGGGGGCGTGTTTTGGACTTCCGTTCGCGGATATATAAATTAATTATGCGTTTTCTTAATAGTTTGAGCTTTTCAATGAGAAGGTCATTATGCGCATCCGACAGTCACTCTTGATTCCACTTTCATTTTGCTTATATGAGTTTATTATTTATTTTCAAACATTATAAATCTTAAATTTTTTGGTTATTGGTAGTTTACTTCTTTTGACTATTGGAATTTGTTTTTTATTTAATAAGTATATTTAAATATTGAATAAAAACGAATTTTACATTGATTACTTTTGTCTATCTATTGTTTATTTGTTTAATCCATTAATTTATTTTTTTTTTTAATTCATTATACAAATTTTGTATTAAGTTTTGATATTGGTTTGTATTCTTTCCATTAAAATTTTGATATATGATGTTATTTTATAATTTTACGATTGATATTTTAGAAAAAGGTAAAATATTTTTTACCACTAATGTCTTCACCAACACATAAATTATTCGAAAACAAGTTATAATATAAGCCTTTTTTTTTCTTCAAATATTTTTTTATGTATTGCTAACTCACTAAATTTTTTTGAAAATAATTTTCTTGTATATATCGAATAACATTGAAATGTTTAAAAATTCATCTGAAAGTATTATTGCACCTGGACTATCAGTTGAAAATACTACACAGGATGACGATGCAATGGAGGTTGTGGAACTTCTGAACTTACCGAATCCCAATGTAAAAAGATAAGAAACTATGCAAGAAATATCATGTGTTTGAAATCATTTTCAACAT